AGCATACCAGTAGTGAAGCAGAGCGCAATCTTGCTTAAACAAAGGGCTACAATCAAGTAAAAGAAAAAAAAGATCAGTTATTAACATAGGTATGTTAAATACAGCACACAATATTTGGAATCCATTAAATTTTATACAAAGCTTCATAAAGGGTACTTCAATAAACATGGCCTTAATTATACCAATGCTTTTGCCCGCTTCAAACCTCTGCTAATGTTAAAGCATTAAGTATTTAATTGAAATACAATAGCTGAAGAACATGGAAGACATTAAAGGAGAAGGTTACAAGCAACAAGCAATATTTGAAGTCTAACCTCATATTTTACAAGAAATCACCAGCTCCTACAGTGAAGTGAAGGAAAGAAATAGGATTGGAAGGTTTGTTTGGATTGCTGCTTTTCAACATTTTGAGAGATGAAACAATTGCAGGACTTTATCTGTAATCTCAGCAAGATATAGTTTTCTTAGGCTTTTTAAATGGAGTGTTAGAGAGTTAAATTATGTGAGTCAAAAATTGAATACTGTAAGTCTGAAATCATGCATTTTCCATTTGACTAGTGAATGTTTTCAGTTCTCTTGTGAGGTATCTAAAGGGACATTCATGCTTCATTTTGGATCTGAAATTATTACTGCCTGCATTTCTAAAAGGCTGTTCTAGGTTCAAGCCATTAAAAAAAAGACACTATTTCTGTACTTGAGTAGTTCTGGACTATATATTTTTGATTATTATGGCATATGTTCATATAATTTTCTCAATAAAATAAAAAGTCAGGGAAAAAAATAGGCCTGAAGCATTAAAGATTGTGAACATTCAAGGATTCTTTTAAAATCTCATTATAAATATCTTATGTACTTATATTTAAATGTAAATAAAGAAAAGATAAGGCTCTGTTAAGAGACCCCATTCAAGACCCTGAATACCATACAATCATCTGGCTACCAGTATCTGATGATTCCCAACAAGTATTAAACCAATAATTCAGTGCCTTGTGGTGGATACTATAATTGAACACTATTGGAATTTCACTAATTTACATGTAACATAGACTAATGTGCTTAGCATATGATCATAATTATTTAACCCAGTTCAAACTTGGAAATGCTATTAATACCTCACCTTTAATACAATAAATGTATATGACATTAAAAGAGAACATATGTGATATAAAAGAAACTAAGATGCTATCAACAAGGAGTATTTTTAATTAGAGATCTCCTTATCAAACTCCTTTAACTTCACATCTATTGTTCAATTCAATTTTACAATTTAAAGAGTACCATTCTGTTTGCACACATGCAAACAATTTTGCCCTTACTTTTCTGACCTTCAACTTTCTTCCTATCTATCAATGTGACTTTTCAAACACAACAAAATAATTTTACATTCTCTGTTGAGGATTGGCAATGCCCTTCCTTCCTTCTTTCCTTCCTTCCTTCTCCCTTCTTCCTACCTTCCTGAATATAGCCCAAAATCTGTACTCTTTCAACAGCAGATAAATCTTCAACAGCTCTGAGCAAAATAAGTAATTGTTTTGATTCTAAAATTCCCAAATATCAAACATTGATATAAAATTATTTGAATTTAAAAAGTTAAAAGTTCAGTTTAATAATCCACTATGTTAATTTAAAGAAAAATGGGCAAAGAATTACTTAAAGAATACTTAGTTCTGTGTGAATAAGGGCATTTTAAGCTACTTTTTCTAATACAAACTTTTCCTATAAAGCAAACTGAAAGGTTTCAATGATATACCCAAGGCATAGCTATTTTCACTTAAAGGAAAAACAAAGAAATCTCATGAAAGTGGCTTCGCATGACTAATGAGAAAGTCTATCTAGTATCCCCTGATATTTATACATGTTGGAATGGATTGTCTACATTGGAATGGACTGGGGGCATTTAAGTGAGATGTACACTGTGGATGTTTTTTCCGCTACAGACAACCCATTAAAGTAGAGTAAAGCCTCCTTTAATATTTTTGATGGACCAAGAAAAAAAATCATATGTTCTTTTGAATGTAGACAAACCATTATATAGAAATAATTTCTAGTTGTGTGGTACCTGGAATATTCATGATGTTACCTAGCTTAGAAATGAAACATCTATGCAAGAAAGCCATCAAGCTCAGAGAGCACCAGGGACCCTGAATTATAAATATTCTCTTTTATCAGCAATTCCTACTTGTTTCAATATAATGTGCTGGCTTCATTCTCTGTCAATAAAGGATAGATCTCTAAGATCTACTGATCTCAGTAACAGCTAGTCTTTTACCAGGTAGTACAGTACTGTATACCTCCTGGTTAGTTTGTAGGTCTGGCCCATACTTTTCCAACCTGGGGAAGAGAAACTAAAAAAAAACCCTCAGCTGTATTCATTACAGTACAATATTTCTATACATTTACCCTCATTGCTAAGCAGACAGTATAACAGAAACCAATTTTTTTTTTAAAAAGCGAGTGAAATAAACATCATCCTTTTATAACTCCAGTCTACATCTAGGCCCTAGGCTGAAAGCCATCCTAATATTTTCTTACAATGATGCTGCGCTCTGCAAGACAGAAGCCTTCTTGCAAGATATCACAAAATAAAATGTCCTCTCTGGCCCCCATTCTCATGCAATACTAAACTTCACTGATAATCAATCTGCATATCTACCAGTTTAGTATAATGGCCTACGGAAAATGTTTTTGACATTTCTCGTAATATTGTTTCATACTTCATTATATTATTAACTAGTAAATGCACTAGAAAATAAAAAAGAGTACTTAAGTACTCTTTAAGCTGCCTGAACAGTGGAGAGGAAATCACACAAATCAAGACACATTCAAACAGGGGAACAATACAACCCTTGGTGTATAAGAATCCCAAGGCCTTTGAATAGCTCCAATAATGATCTTTGTCCTGATGGACAGCCAAAACATATAAGCTGAATCATACCATTCGCTACTTATTCAGCCTGGGGACCTGATACAAACTCATCTCTCTTCAGAAAAAACTTTTTGACATCAGTCTTGGAAAGGAAGGATTTAAGCTAAACCCCCTTTCAACACCACAAATGTGTTTTTGCAATTAAACCTGCCCAATTATCATTGACAAGTCCAAATCACCCTGAGCTGTTCAGAAGCTGTCCGGTGCCCCCAGCAAAACCCTGCAGGCATAGGTGTTGGGGGGGGGCGGGGGAGAAGAGGGGAAAGAAATCTCTTATTTAACAACATCTTTGGGTTCCACTGTATTACTTTTAGAATAATTGATTGTATGAGAAAAATGCCCTCTCCGTTTTAATTTCCTGGCTCAATGCCCATCCTCTTACAGTTCTGTTTCTTCATGCAGACAAAATATTCAACAAAAGCAGTTCGACAAAAAGATGCACAATTTAGTATGTTATTATTTGAATCTCATTCTAATTCTACGACAGTAAAGTAGGCTTAACAGAAAATACCCACCGTGTCTTTAAACCTCTTTCCCTCACACTCACACAAACTACCTCATTTCTTCCTACTATTTGGCATAGAGAGTTTGCACCTTCATAGGAAAAGTAAACAATAGGTATCTTTCTAATGTCTGCTCAATTCTTCTGGATATAAGAGTTAGCATGATAATAAGTGTTAAGATGAATTGATATAGTCACTTCTTACAAACACTTTCTCAGAGCTTAAAAGGGAGCAACTAAAGATTAAGAAACAAAATATTTAATATATTTGCGGGAGCAAAGCTCAAGTTCAACTTGTTCAGCTAAAGAAGTTGTTTCTAAAGCACATGTTGGTGCGTGTGTGTGTGTGTGTGTGTGTGTGTGTGTGTGTGGAAATCAAGCTAAAGCAGCACTTTAAAATGAATTGTCTTTTTTTGTAACTTTGTCTTTAAATGTAACTATAAAATATCTCAATCTGTGTGCAAATGCAAGCATACCTCCCTTTTTTTGTGGGGTAACAATAAAAAGTGAAGAGTTTGCAGGTTACATTTTGGTAAAACATATGCTGAATCTAACTTACATACCAATATATGTAATAACAAAGTTCACAACATTTATGCTTTTTCTTAAAAACTATAGAAAAAAATTATATACGTAGGTTTTTTAAAAATCCGGTGTAAGAGTTTTTTCCTTCAAAATATAACACCAACACAGAAAATGAATTATCTGTCAGCTGGGCAGCATGTAAATGTTATTACCTTCTCAGCCTCCTTTGTCGATCTAGTTTTTGGTAAGGAATAGCATGCTAACTCAGGGACATCATCCAGTTGCTTTTTCTTTTGTATAATTTAATAAAACAAAAACTCTGTGAATTAATGAAAATAAAATCCAGCTAATTTATTCAGTTGGCTGGCTGGGGAACTCTTCAAGTATAGAACATGGGTATTCCATATATCTATATGTCCAGAGAGAGAGGGGTGTGTGTGTGTGTGTGTGTGTGTGTGTGTGTATTCTTGCATAGTTTTCAAAAAAACATGGGGTTTCAGCAACTCGTGTGCAGAATGTTTCACTAGTTTTAATGAATATACAAAATGCAAGGTTTCAGCACTTTCCTCATTTTTACAGGTCTTTATAGGTTTGTTTTTTTAATTGACACTGGTATATAACATTCCAACCATCCTACTTTAATGTTGGTCTTGCACAACAAGATTTTTCTAAGCTCTAACTGAAAGCACTTTTCTGCTGCAGATAATTAGACTACAGGACCAAACTATTGCTTTGAGAAGGGCTAAGAAATTTATAATCTAGCATTACATGCAGTCCTTAATTCAGAGCAACCCATTCTGAAATTCAGCATAAATAGGAAAAATTTTCCATCTCTCTTCCCACAACACAATATTGGACAACTAAGTTTATCAGGTTTGGATTCTTAAACTGTCCAACTTCTCTCCAAAAGAGACAAAAATAGTGAGCTTGCTTTCTCAACAGAGAAATTCCTACTGACCTTTTAAGAAAAATTAAAAAAAAATATTTAATAGTTCAATGAAAAATATTCTTAATTTAAACGTACATTAGGAAAAGGGAAACTCTTACCATGTCACCAGGTTTTATGGAAACTGCCACTACTGCTCCAGGCATTGGGGATCTTATGATACTTGTGGTATCTTCCGTAACTTTTTCTGGCATGTATTTGCTCAGTTCTGCAGCAAGCTCGTTCAACACACGCAATTTGTACTTGGAAAAAGGAAAAGAGATGAGAAAGAACTGTTACAAAAGTAAATTATATCAAAGCAGTATTGATTGTTTTTTTTTTAAAAAAAGATCATAGTATCTAAAATCTAAAGCAAGTATGCATTAATATCTTAATCTTGCTTGGACACCTGGAAAATTTTTAAAAAGTTGCATTTTAAAAAGATATTGGAAGCAGAGTAAATTTGATGTCAATTAAAATACTATTGGGGTTATTGCTAAAATAGAAAATATAATTTGCATCTTTCATAAAATAAAATATTTTAAATGTATCTCTATTATAGATTTCATTATACATAATCCAGTATTTGTCATTATATACAGTTTAACAAAATAGAGCAAATTTTTGTATTTCTGCAAATGTTCAAGTGTTTTATAATTAACATTATAAACATTATAAACATTTTTTATAACATTTTATAATTTTAGTTTGTACATTATAAACCTTAACTAAAATGATTGGGTTTTTTTTAAACACCAATTATATATTATATGCACTTTTTTTCTTTCTATCTTCTGCCGGTCATGCTTCCAAAAAGTAGATATGTAAATGTAAGGAAATGGATAACTTGTCCAAGAGGTATAGCCCCATTAATGTACAAAAATCAAGATATTCCTCCATGAAACAAAAAAATAGTTTTGACTTTTTCCTTAAAAGTACAAAGGCCACATGTTGCAATCTCTTGGCTCAAAGAAGTCTGAAAATACAAGTTCAATTTAAGTAGACTATCAAAATAATCAGTACAAGCTATGCTAAACAAGGAAATGTTTTTGAACTCACATAAACTTTCTGTGGTTTGCAAATAGGTTTGCTTCTGTTTAAATTTTTATGTTAATGTAACCAAAATGACCAAGAATGTTTCAAGAGAGAAAAAGATATTCTATGTTTTTACTATTTACTAATACATTTTATATAGTCACTGAAATTCCAATGATTTTATCTTCCTGTTGGATTCTTCTCCTTTAATCTTTTTATGTGGCATCTGCTTTTAAAAAACTTGTTCTGGACGTTGCTTTCAGGCCTCCAGCAGATGGCAGCAGGAGTCCATGAGAGAAACTCTATCTTTGGCCATCAGCAGACAAAAGAACAAATGCAGCTCTTTCAACTGGTCTTGGTTTAAAAAAAAAATGTGGGTATCTGAATGGCAGATAACAATCTAACATACACTGAGACCAACCACAATCTCTAGAATTTCTAATTATTTTAACTCAATTCTCACAAATAGAACCTTAAGCAATTTAATAGCTCCAGAATGCAAATAAAATTAAACAGTTCAGCTTCAATAACCAGTAACTATCACTCTTGAATGTCTCAATATCTCATTAATCCATCTTTAGAAGGATCTCTGCCCATTGAAAAGCAATGTATAATCAGGGTTATGCCTAATATCACATAAAGTATATAGTACAGTAAAACAAACAAATTAATGTTTGACCATTGAATCTCAGCACCCATTTTCAAACTCACCTTTTAGAAATAACTGGGCATAACCTTATAAGCATAACCCCATTTCACCCTTGAAAAGCAAAGTGCATGGGGTGCTGGTGTGGTGTAGCTAAGGTGCCCTAGAAGCTGTCCAATGATCTAGTACATGTATTGTAATGGAATGATGGACGTGTTTAAGAGAAAGTGTTCATCATTTCCAGATTTCTCAGTTCAGACAGAGCTCCCCCACACTGTAAAGAATACCGTTTAAATCCTCGGATTTATCCACAAAGTAATAATATAACTGGAGACAGGCTAGGGAGCTACTGTTCTTCAACCTAATAGTTTACATTTTACTTCTTGGTTACCCGAACAGCACTCAATCCATCAAGACATACCAAACAGAAGATCAAAGTGATAATACATTTCATGCTCTTATATAATTCTCATTCATTTTTGTGAGGTTTCAATATATCTCTCTAATAGGGTGAGGGAGCATTAGGTGCATCAGCTTGAGTTATCCAAAATAAAGATAGGATATAAAATGAATGAATGAATAAAGTATTTGTTTTACTTTATTATGGTGCTATGTGCTCTGTTTATAGTCCATTTAAAAGTTTCTCTACAAAACAACCAGGATGGATACTCTTTCGAAAATAAATCCTTTATAACCAAACTAAGCTAAACAACCTGTGTGTGTGTGTGTGTGTGTGTGTGTGTGTGTGTGTGTGTTTCTTTCTCCTCTCTTCCTCTTTCTCTCTTTCTCTCTCTCTCTCCCTCTCTCTTCCTCCCTCCCTCACACATATGTAGACACATAAACTAACCAGGGCACCCATATACAGTAGGAATGAATACTTATGCACAAATCAGCAAGGACATCAGCAAATAAAATATTCAACATAATTATTCCATGTTGTAATAATAGTTAGTGCATTTTGCTTCACAACATTCAGATAAAATCTGTTTTTTGTTGCCTTGTATGTAACTGGGATTACTTTCACCCAGAGAGATAGATTATTACTGTGAAGACTACATTTTAATTTACACTATTTGCACTATTTATTTTATTCACCGATTTATAGAGAAATACACATCTAAAAATACATAGACTTTACACATTTCCTTGAGACACCCCCCCCTCACAAAACCTCCCCTCAAGCACTAGCTTCATTATTTTAAAACATCCTTCCCCACCACAAACACCCATACATCCCACAAACACAAAATGGGTTAGTTTTGATAAAAACAATGTATTTGGACTTCCTATAATAAAGACTTAGGAACCTGTTGCAATATATGCAGGCATCTGAATAAGAACCACAAATTAATAAAATACATAGAAGAGATTACAAGGGATTCAAACTGTTACTACTATTCTAAAAACTAAGCTTTAGCTGTTATTTTTTTAAATCTATTTTTTAAAAATTAAAGTGTCTTGAAACGTATGTTTGTTAATTGCAATTTACAATTTTCTAGGAAGAAAAACATTTTCCAATTGTAATACCCAAATAACTACCCCATAGAATCTCTTTTCAAACAAAATGAACATTAGTGCCCTAGAAATGCACATCTGCAACAAAGAACATAAGAAGAGACCTTAATGGGATTTATAGCAAAAGTTATCAGAATTGCTATGTTCCACAATAGGCCAAATAACATATTCTGCTGATTCCTATATTGCACTGTCAGTTTTCAATCAACGGGTACTCAGATCTGATGGTATGTAAAAGGCATGGTTCTTTCCAGAAATTATAATGCCAATAGTTTTCTTCCTTCTGTTAAAATCTAAGTTATATCGCAAAACAAAAAAAAAGCTTCCAAAATAAATTGTAATACAATCCTTTGCAAAGTATCCATTCATCAAAGGATGAATTATCACATAAAATTATACCTGAGGGAATGTAATGTATATCAAAATCTACAGTTTCAAAATCTAAAGAAAATACCCTTTTCAGATGTAGATTGGAAATGATGATTAAAAAGTAACCACCTTAGAAAGAAACACAAATTGAGCTAGATCTCTAGGTCACCATCAGATGCTATCTGGCTCCATATTGCAAAATATGTTTCCTTTTGATATATTTTTAGCCTCAAAAAAAAATAAATAAATCTGTAGCACTTCAAAAGTAAGCTTTACAGGTTTCTGAAAGTAACTCAAGTTTGTAAAGTTAAATGGGAAATAGTTTCAGTTCTCACAATCAGTCATCAACCAGTACCAGAGAATATATCTGAGACAGCATAGAATTGACACTAAAAGTGTCTCCTAACTGCTGTGTAGCACAAGCTTCCTTGTCTCCATTATGTCCCGTACCCATCCTTCTGCTTATTCCTATTCCTCTCTCTTCTGGATATTTTCTCTGCAGGACTCTTTGCTTTGCTTGGAATGAGATGTGAGAGCCAGTAAGCAAAAAGGCTTTTAAAATGCAAGCCTTTGTTATTGATGAGTTATTCCCTTTCCTTTTGTATTTGTTTATTGTTCTTTGGCTTGTTTTTTGGGGGGTGGGGTGGGGTGGGGTGAAAAAGAGCTATTGTAACTTTTTTTTTAAAGTTAGCTTCAACAGTGAACTTTGGGGGGGAAATCCTTTGGAAGCACAATTATGGACACACATGCACACACACACACACACACACAAAGCCCTTATGGACACAGGATGTTAGAAGTGTTACATAGCGGATCCTTTTTTTAAAAAAAATGCAATTGGGTGAATATTTTGGCTTCATCGAATCCCAGTTAATGTCATGTGTCCTCCAAAAAGCATTCCTTCAGCAAATAGTTTCTCAGTTTAAGAAAAATACAGTCTGAACCAGCAGGCTCTATGGATTGCGCAGCACATATTAAGGATGTTAACCTCTGAGCTGGTTCAAGGAAAAATGTAACTTGAGGAAATGTAAATTGAAGAATATGAGAAGACGGAAAGAACAACACCTGGCTGTAAAAAAAAAAAGGTGGACTGAAAGCTTTCAAACCTCACCAACTTTCCCAAATGCAGCACAACTACTTCTTGATTGCAAGTGGGATGAACTGAAAAGCGACCAAGCCTTACATGAGAAAAGAAGGATTTTAACTTTAAAATAAAGCAAAGATTGAGGAAGGAGAATGTTGCAGAGGACAGTTGAATTAGCTTATTGAGGTGGCCGAGGGTTAGCCTGAATTAGGAATTGCAAACACAAAACATAATTGCAAAGAAAAAAAATAATACTGACCACAAGCTGCCTCTAACCTCCTTAAGTGAGGCATCAGTCACACCTTGCTTCATTCAATGTTCTTGTAGTAGGGGCTAGATTTGCCAGTTATACTCAAACATGCTCCTTTAGGCAAGAACTTCCCAAGAAGGACTAGGCCTTACAAAGCAGATTCCTTTTGCTTTAAGTTAAGGTTGATCAATCAGAGTCAAAAGCACACAGAAATAGACTGTGCGTGCAGTTACAACACAGACAAGGTAAAATGAACAGATAACAACTCAGCTGTTTGAATAGCAGCGCTCTGTACATCTGCAGTCAGTGGAGCAGTCTGTTAGCATAATGCTTTGACAACTCCATCAGTGTAGTCTCAAGGTTC